CAGGAGGAGCACTGCCAGAGCCCTGCAAAATGACTTCCAGTGGGCCACAAATGTGTATGTGGCTGCTCAAATGGTCAGAAACAGACTCCATGAGGTTGGTATGAGGGCCCGACGTCCACAGCTGGGGCTTGTGCTTACAGCCCAACAGCGTGCAGCATGTTTGGCATTTGCCAGAGAACACCAATATTGGCAAATTCGCTCTTCACACTGAGCACATGTGACAGATGTGACAGGGTCTGGAGATGCCATGGAGAACGTTCTGCTGCCTGCAACATCCTCCAGCATGACCGGTTTGGCAGTGGGTCAGTAATGGTGTGGGGTGGCATTTCTTTAGGGGGCCTCACATCCCTCCATGTGCTCGCCAGAGGTAGCCTGACTGCCATTAGGTACCAAGATGAGATCCTCAGACCCCTTGTGAGACCATATGCTGGTATGGTTGGCCCTGGGTTCCTCCTAATGCAAGACGATGCTAGACCTCATGTGGCTGGAGTGTGTCAGCAGTTCCTGCAAGACGAAGGCATTGATGCTATGGACTGGCCCGTCCGTTCCCCAGACCTGAATCCAATTGAGCACATCTGGGACATCATGTCGCTCCATCCACCAACACCACGTTGCACCACAGACTGTCCAGGAGTTGGGGGATGCTTTAGTCCAGGTGTGGGAGGAGATCCCTCAGGAGACCATCCACCACCTCATCAGGAGCATGCCCAGGTGTTGTAGGGAGGTCATACAGGTACGTGGAGGCCACACACTACTGAGCCTCATTTTGACTTGTTTTAAGGACATTACATCAAAGTTGGATCAGCCTGTAGTGTTTTTTTCCACTTTAATTTTGAGTGTAACTCCAAATCCAGACCTCCATGGGTTGCTAAATTTGATTTTCATTGATAATTTTTGTGTGATTTTGTTGTCAGCACATTCAACTTTGTAATGAACAAAGTATTTAATAAGAATATTTCATTCAGATCTAGGATGTCTTATTTTTGTGTTCCCTTTATTTTTTTGAGCAGTGTATAATGAATAAATCTCACTATTCAGTGACAGACTCTCCCACATATTCATTTAGGAAATTCATTAATTTTGACAGGCTTAACTTTCAAGAAAACTTCTGCCTAACTTTCTTTTGTGTAGCCACTATCCCATCTCTCTTTTGTGCCTATGAAGTGTTATTTAAAATACATATCAATAGAAAAAGGTTAGGAATTAACCATTGAAGCTGTATTAATTGTTTAATGCAATAGGCTCTGCCTGGCAATATTTGGAGTCACTTGTGTGAGATTTATAGCTGTCTTTTAAATTAGTATAGACTATTGATATGTTAAATAGTTCAGTTGGAAGTAAGATTAATTATGTAACAGAGATTTTTATCTTCTATTTTTTTATTTGTTGGAGTCATTTATTTAAGTTGATGACTCTGATATTCTAAATATCAGAAAAAGAACAATAAAATGGGGGGAAACATGTTCACAGTACGGATTCATTGGAGGGGGAAAGCCAGATCTTTAAAGCTCTACAGAAAATTAAGATCATTATTTTAAAGGTCAGGCAGAGCAACAGAAAAGGTCTAATTAGGTACTGTTGCATCAGAGCAGAGATCTGAAGCATCCTTATCTTCTATGATCTTATAGACTTGCTACTTTTAAAGTTTATTATACTTTTTCTTCTGTTCTTAGTCACTGAAATTGGCAAAAAACAAACTTTGCAAATCATAGTCACATGAGCATGGGACATTGCAACCAGTTGTCTAGTGCCTGACATGTGACCACGTGATTCTGTGCCAGCGTAACTTCGAGGATATGTTATAAGTAGATTTTTAAATTCTCATGACTTTGAAGTCATTAAATGACTAGTTGTAAGTTGAGAACTATCTGCCATATGAATATTAAAAAATTAAGCCTAGATTTACAACTCAGTTCAACATCTAGTAATGTTAACAGGTTTTTTTTCTAATTTTAATAGAAAGTAAGATTAAAATACTGATTTGATACTGTAAGAATATACTGTAGACTGCTAATATCAAGGTTAATATTCTCTGCATTAGAGGCAGACAATTGTTAATAATGTGGCCTTGTATTTTTGTTCTTATTGTTCCTAAAAGGGGTAATACATAGCACTGAAAAATGTATAGTTATGAAAAAGTTTGTTGTATGTTTGTTGATATAGGAAAAGTGCATGTTGGCTTCAGCTATATAATGTGAATGCAGTTTGAAAGTTGGTTGTTGAATGCAATAAGACATGAATGATAGAAGTAAAGTATGTGATGAAATGGAATAAAATGCACAATACATAGTTCAACATTGAGTAAGGAGATATGTTTTCTGTAGATATGAATGTGTGAACACTTTTGTATGTGAATAATTTGCAGTATATCCACTCCTCATTTAGTGACCACCTTGGTTACAGACCATTCAAAAATATGATGGTAAAAAATAATTTTCCAACTGATGCAAATTAAGAGCAAATTTTATGCCCCTTATAACAAAAGCCTTCAGTGTAAAGCTATTTAAGGTCTGGTCAGCTTCTGGCATCATCATCAAAAAACTAAGGTGTCTAATCAACTAATTAAGGCATAGAACTGAACTTCTAAAGAATAGCATTTTTTAAGTGCTATACTCCCTATGTGAGAGGGAACAGCTCAGGAAAATGAGAGCTTAAACAAGCTATCATGTCTATTCTGTGAGGAAACAAAAGAGTTCAGGCATAGGATAATGTATCTTTATCTGAATGAGATGGCAGCAACCGGTGTTCTTCACAGTATCTCTCTTTTTCTCTCAGTGATCAGGAATATGGATTTCAGGCTGGACTTAATAGGTTGCTCCAACATGGCAGAAATTAGATTAATGAGGGCATTTAAGAATCAGCAAAGTGTAACTTTTTTCCCAAGCTGAGGATAGCATTTTTCAATGCCAGAATAACATTTTACCATCTGTACTGCTGCGAGGCAGATATTCCAAAATCCCGTTAACTGAGCATTTGGCTGCCCCTGTGGTGACAAGAAGATCAAAACCATTTTGATCACCTGTGTTATTACATTGTAAATTCCACAGGAGTGTCAGGTTTGCTTATATTGTGCCTTTAATATCTAAATTTCCAGGACATTTTCTCATGTGTAGCAGTCAAATTCCATGTTGCCCTGATTAAAATAAACATAACTGTCTCAGAAATGACAACTTCTCTTTTATTGTCACTTAGGCTTATTTTTAGTAGTGTATGCTATATTTTTGTTATTTTATCTTTGTTACACTAATATTTTATCTCATCTATTTTATTTTACTTTGATGTATTTTTTTTCAAACTTTGCTGGTCATTTATTGAATAAACAGTATTTTGATTCACTTAGTGATCACTGAACAACAATCATTGGAATGGAATGCAGTTGCTAAATGAGGAGGTTATATACATTAGGCAGAGGGCATAGTAATATGAAGAATTTGGATCTGAAATTTACATATAGAAGATCATGATAGATATAACAATTAAAGAGGAGTGGATACTTTTAAGATATATACATATGAAAACTAGAGCAAGTAGATGAATTTGTGTACCTTCATAGAAAATGGAAATTAAAGATGGGGATAGGGCTGCAGATATAATTTATGTGTACAATGCTGATATTTATAAATAGATTGTATATAATTTGTTGTGAAGAATATTTGTCAAAAGTAGCAAAAGTGTCTATGTACAAAAAAAAACCTGGTTTTGTCCATTCTGTATTGGGTGTGTCAGTGTAGTTATCTCAGGAGAAATATAAAGCTGAGTTGAATGTAGTAGAATAGAGTGCTTGGAATTTTTGTGTGGTAAAGCTAACATTACCACACAAATTTTAAATACTGTTGTAAATCAAATACAAAACTGTATCACGTACAGAAGTAAATTGAAGTAGATTGATCAATGAGAATCAAATTGTAAAACAAATATATGAAGGAAAAGGCTTACAGAGAGGAAACAAATGTTGATGATAAGCTTAACAATGATAAGGTATGAAGTTGTGTATGAACATGATGGAGCAAGGATGATCTGTTAGATTGGAAAAATTTTGGGAAATATAAATAGCATGTAAACTTTGGACTATATTTCTCTTATGTATTAGTTTTTGCCTTTAATTTATTTTGCTGATTATTTCTTGTTCCGTTCCTTGGTTTCCCATATTCCCAAAAAGGAATACAGCAAGCTCTATGCATATATTCATCATTCTCACATTGTTTTACTTCTTATACACTATAAATTGAAAGATTTCAGTCTTTTAAATAGGCTTCAATATGTTTTGCTATTTGGGAAAGGTTTTCCCATAAAATAGAAAAATTGTTTTTACTAGGTAAATGTACATATCAACATATAAAGATTTTTATTATATTTCATAAAATAAACTTCTAACAGTCTGTTGTTTTCACAATAGATTTGTGACAGTAGCTATTTGATACATTTGCAGTGGAACAGTACTTTACTTTTGATTTAGTCATTATTTGATTAATACATGACCAGCTGTACTTTGGTGTTAGTCACTATTAGAAGATTTTGCTTTGAAGTTTCCTAGACTATTTAACAAAAATAATATGAATTGCATACTGATATTATGTCCTGTTAATATAAGACATGCTTCTTGATTTAATTTCTTTACACACTATACTTTTGAATTGCCAAAAATATTAAAATGTAATTTTTAAAGTGAGAAAAATGGAATCACAAAATTTCTGAGGTTGATACGAATGTAGTTATGCGTACAATTCAAATTCACATCAGTGATATTAAAAAATTAGTTGTCCATATTCAATTGTACTAGAAAAGTGTACAGCATATACAGGAAGCTGGTTGATGGAAAACAGGAAGGAATACAAATAGTATCTTGGCATCTGTTCATTGCATAGAAAACAATACACACGATATGTTCTTGATATTGACAGATGGAGCATGCTGATGGTTAGGGGAAAATCACATTTAAAAATAGCTGTTTGCTCGCACATTTATTCCCTTGTTTTCAATTTTCTTCTTGGTTCTTTCAGAGCTACCTGTTTCAGCTTTGGATGCTTGGAAATTACAGACCTGAATTCTTGAAGCTTGACCATCACAATTTCAGGCCTAATATTCAAAATAGCAACAAAAAAAAAAGAAGAAGTGGTAAGCATATGCCCTGTAATACACATTTTCAAAGAGGTAGAATGCACATAGTTAAGTACTTTTAGGTTCTAAAACATCCTCTCTATTAAAAAAATTAGTGCTCTGAACTATAATACATGGATATATACATGATATACATATTTATGTCAATAAACTGTTTCATGCCGCAAAGGAAAGATGATTCTAGCAAGATAAGAAAGAAGTAATTTTTACCTTGGAATACTTCTTAGCATCTTAAAATTTCTTTATGCTTTTTTCTTCTGCAAAGTTGCAACATCTGTGAAATAAAGCATAGTAATCTTTTCATCTAGCACAGCTAACTGCTAAAAGGAAAGGGGTTTTTTGCAGCTTACCTACTGTTAGCATTCTCCAGTATATTCAAAAGCAGGAGCCTGTATCGCTCACCCAATCCAGAAAAGGCTTCCGTGCAGTTGTTTGTAGAAGGCTTTTTTTAAATTTTGCAAGTGCTAGAGAATACTGAGGAAGGCTGCTTTTCTCTTCTCTTAAAAATGAAGGGTTCCTGTTGCTTAGCAAAGCAAGTCCAAGGGGGTGTTTGTCTTGAAACTTGACACCTGAAGCAAAGCATCCTTTTGTAGATATGCCCAATTACAGTAACTAGTCTGTTATTTCAAACTAGCCATTAGTTTGAAAACAATAATTTTTAAAGCATTGAGTTCCTTTACCATTGCTTGAGTCCATGCAATATCTCTCTTGCTTTCTGCATATCTGTAAGCATATTCCCTCTTAAAATATTAGTTGACTTGCTTACCAAGCATTTCATTGCTAATTAGACTTTTAAATACACACATTTGTTAGTACCCTAGAAAATACAGCCATTAAGACTTTACATGGTATATGAAATAAAACTTTCTATTTTTATATTAGTATTTATAACATTTCTTTGTGTTACCGTATTTGCCGGCGTATAAGACGACTTTTTTGCCCTAAAAAACATGCCTCCAAGTGGGGGGGGTCGTCTTATACGCCGGTAAATACATTGTCACTCGGTGCAAGAGCGACGGGGGCGGAGCTCCGCAACTTGCGAAGCCCCTTCAAGCCCAGCCGAAGTCTCTCTTCCTCCTCCTCCC